TCCTCCACTATTTTGGGTTTAATCTCCTTCAAGTTTGGGTATGTGCTTGAGAAATGACTTTCCTTTTGACAAGTAGCATTCCTACTAAAGTTTAACTTTGCTAAATAAAAATATACTAGAGAAGCAGAATAATTGGAGTTTTGATTGATTCGATTAAACAAAATCTGACTGGCTTGGGCAGTATTTCTTCTGTATACAAACAAAAAAAGAAGTCCCCAGCTTATATAGTAGACAATTGTTTTCTTTCTAAAATAGATCAGCAACAAACCAATGATACTACTCCATTTAAGCCATTCTTTCCAACTCCTCTTGTTTGAGGCAGAGAGGAAACAATAGAAATAAAACTAAGATTTAAAAGATTTTCAGTAGTAGAAGACATTTTAAGGCCAAAAAGTGTAATACTAACAAAATTTTTATTTTCCTAAGTTATTATCCTTCATAGGCCAATACCATAAAGTTATTTGTACTGATTCCCTCCCAAAGAGAATTTTTAAATTCATTCACTTTTGTTAGTGGCTGTGCTACAGGAAAGGTATCAAAGCAACCTATAAAGGTATGGTATATCGTAATGTAAAAAGTGCATCACATTCTTGATTTTCAGTTTCATAGCAGCAGCAGGATTAATCCAAGACAGAAAACAGTTGTATTTTCATTCTAAAAATGCAACAAATACGTAATGAAATGTATTCAAGATCATGAAAGGATCCTCCTCCATAGAGGATAAAAGACTAATAATAGACAAACGGGCAAACTAAAAGCATTCATTCGTATTTACATGTTATTAACCATTTTCGTCAACACCAAACTTTACACCTAGCAAAAGAAATACTTTAAGAATAATGCAGACATTACTAAAGCAGTATCCATTTTGGGGGCCTCTGTTTAGCACCTGAGGAAAAAAAGATCTATGGAAAACTATATAATTTACCTCAAGTTGGTTTGTTGGTCTGTTGAGTTAAACTTTGATATACAATGAAAGTGAAACTGAAGTGGAAAATAAATGTTTGTAGTTTTTTTAATAAGGCTGTAGAAAAGGGATACTGCAGTATTATAAAATGGCTTTAGAACTCTGGACATAAACAAAATTGTATGAATAAACAGGGAAGTCTGAATCAGCAATCCCATCACATAGGGATGGCCGTTCCATAGGTTTCTAGCCCATAACTGCTATTTGACACTTCTTGTAATGCAAAATCAACATACCATTCCAGCTTCACTGGGTGTTTTAATTAACAGACACTTAAAACACTATATATTCAGAAGACCTTTCTTGAGTAGCAAAACTGTGAAATTTAACTCATTAAAGCAATGCTTTTGAGTGGAGCCAATGATTCATCACTCTTTAAACCAACCCAGGGGTGGTCCCGGTTCTCACATCTGACCAGATTTAAATATATTTAAAAAGAAACATTTTGATACTCAAAGCAGAAGCCCATCTTTCTCACCAAAAAAGAATCCTGGTGCTGTCAATTACATTAACAAAAATAATGATATTAAAAACTAAAACCTCTATGTGTCTCTGCAAACTTAAGAGCAGCTATTATACTTCTAGTCTTGTCCCCTCTCCTTTAAACAAATATGAATACTTTGGGGGTGAGGAGATGAACAAATCCTACCCTTTTAAAACCCAGCAGTTATGGCCGGTCAAGTGGCTCAGTTGGTTAAGAGCTTGCTCAAGAGTGTGAGCTCTGAGCAACAGGTCACTGGTTCGATTCCCGGCCCGAGCTAAGCTGCCAACAGGTGGCAGGATGGCTGAGCTAAAAAAAAAACCAAAAACCCAGCAGTTAAGTCCTAGGTAGGACTGACTGCCTGATCAAAATCTAAACCAACTGGTGCAGCATCAACATATCTAACCATAAAAACTACTGTCCAAAATATGTACTTGTTCCACTATAGAGTGTTGCAGTTAGCATAGGTGTACAAGAGGGATCATGTGTTATTGAGAAATATGGTCCAGTGGCATAACTATACTCATAATCCTTGGAAATGAGGGCTTTAATCTATTTCTCTAAAGAAGAAAGCCTTGAAAGAATGACTCCCTTCTTATTCAGCTAAATTCAAAATCAAGTAAAAGTCCTCTTATATATTTCCTTGCCTGTGGCCATTTGGTACATGACATACACCACTTCACACTAAATGGCTTTTTTATGTTTAAAAAAGTTTATAGTGAAAGATAAACCATTAGATGCCTCTGACTGGGTTAGCAACAAGCCTAACAACCAAGTACAAAACTACCGCTGCTATGTAATGTTTTGTGAATACACACATTTTGTATTATGGACAACACTCTTTTAACTGAGGTTTGTAATATTTTCCCTAGAAACTTATTGAAAAACAATGCACTTTTTTTCCTTTATAAAGTTTTTGCAGATTCTGAATGACTAGGTTAAGCAGGTGATTAAGGAGAAGAGCAAAATTCTAAAATGGAGAGAACTTCTCCAGCCATTTATTTCAAGAAAAAACAAACTGGCATTAACAAATTCCTAGTTATTATCTATCCCCTCCTAGAAGGTAGAGGAGGAAGGGTTAACTACAGATGCTGTAAATACACTTTATGTGAAAGTTCATTACTAGGAGGTCAGAGGAAAGGCTATGCAATTAACTTCAGTTCGGCAAAGTGGGGGTGAATAAGGAGATAAATACACCCTGTCTTTTGTAGGGAAGGGGAATTATTCAAGACATCTACGAGAGTGGTATGTGACACAGAAGCCTACAATCAAGACAGATTTAAAAAGAAATCTTCACCCATAATTAGTATCTTCATAGCTATTAAAAAAATAGGTCATGATTTCATTCTTAGTGCCATTTTTCAAATACTACCCTTTTAAGGATTAAAACCACCTGACTTTATTCTGTGTAATGAAAACAAATGGCACAAAATAAATACAAGTTCATTCTCTGAATACTAATATAGTCTCACACATTCATTTACTAATTTTTAGTATCTCCTTTCCCATACACACAAGCATTCAACACACAGACACACACCTTTTTCAGTCTTTATAATGGAGGGATGTTAAAAATCCCCTCTAGACTGTATTTGGTTTATGCTACAGTACTAATACTCTGAGTTGAAGGAAAATTCTTTATACCAAACAATAACACATTAATGTTATTTAAATGTGCTAAATTAATCACAGCTGATGTTTGTTTAGAAGCTTACACAAAAATAATCAGAAAACAGATCAACTCTTAAGATTTTTTTTTTTTTTTTAATAAGTGCTCTGTAAGGAATTGTGTGAGGACCTAAGGAGAAAGATTTCGACAAGTAGAGCTAAATGTTACCAAACAGCACAAAGGATATCTGTCCCAAAGTCCTGCTTTTCCTAGGCAATTAAGTTCATTAACCCAATGCCCAAAAATACTGACAGTTAATATGATGGGGCACTAGGATTCCCAGAAGGTTTAAGAGACATTTCTAACTACATATCTCTAACCATATAATCAAGGAAATTTCAGTGGAGAAATCAAAGCGAAATGTTGCATTGTTTCATTTAGAAGTGAGACTCTCAAAAACCTTTGGACAAACAGAAGGGATACATTCTTTTTGGCTTCTTTAAACATGGAGGCCTGAGGGATATGGAAGGGAAGTAGGAAAGCAACAGCTTTCTGGAGATATTTTATAAGTGTTGCTTCTAAATTTAAAAAGCCCGATTCAGATAGGGGCTGATTTTTTCTTTCTTTTTAAAATACATATTCATTCAACATCTGTATGTCACAAACCCAGAAAGTTTCTTGTGAGTTGTGAGACAGAAGAGCTTTAAAATTCCAGGCAAGCAAATTGGACATTTAAAAAAAGGAGTGGGGCATGGGAGTGAGGGTGGAATCTGGCCCTAAGGCGACAAGTGGTTACACAAGGCAATTGAACACACAGCAGAACTTTAAAACCTATAAAACAAACTGGAGCCTTTTTTGCTTTAATCAACCTTATATCTTTTTTTTTAAACTTTGAAAATTTTTATTAAAAAAAAAATAACACAAAAACACAGACTTCTTTCACTTCAGTATGTGGTATGTTGCATTTTCCAGTTTGTTCAATGCTTTAAAGCTCAAGGATGCCTCTACTTTCAATTGTACATGAGCCTGAAGCATCCTAGCTTTTGGCAAGCAGGCAGGAGACTCAACAAAAATCAAAATAGGAACAAGGCAGACTAAATGCAGGGCACATCTGTAAACATATTATACATTGGAAAATTACAATTATCAGTAAAAGTGATACAGTTTACAGGTGAAATGAAACTATCTGGAACTGGCCTACCACAAGTTTCTGAACCTGGACTGATACAATAAGTTATTTATTCATATATATATATATATATATATATATATATATATATATATATATATATATATATATATATATATATATATAAAATGTATAAAAAGTTTTGTTTACATCAAGTGGAATTGGCAATCCATGCTTATACTTTTAAAATCTAAGCAGGGCAGATATCCAGACTATAAAGATATTTTCTCTATTCTATGTTGAATCCAACAGCTTCTTTGACAAACTACTTGTTAAAAGCCTCAAATAGTCAACAAAACAAGAAAACTCATCCATACTACAGTCGCTCAAAACTGGACATTTCTTAAGCAAAGGGGTTGAACGAAAGTAGTTGCTTTCTCCCCAAATACCCCAGGGGATCCAGTCTACTTTTATTAGAAGACTACACTTTATATAAATGCCCTGCTATTTTAACTTGTATTTGACATACATGGATATACTAATTTCTTCTCTCTCCCCGTGTGTACGTGTGCGTGTGCATGTGATGTGATGCTATGTCAGGCCAGAGAACTTGTTTTTATGCCACTAACATCACCCAACCTTAAATTGGACCCTTCAATTCTCCACACACACAAAAAACTTATTTTAGCATGCTATATACAAGCTGCAGTGCAACAGGATGGCAATGTGATGATAAGACAGGGCTAATGCTCTTCTCTGCCCAAAAGAAAATTTCCAGAATTTCACATTATTTTCCTTAAAAAACCCATTTTGCTCTAGTAATAAAATATATTTATTAAGATATAATTAGAAGATAGTAAGCTCAGAAGTATAGTTTGCATGAAAACACACCTTCTATAGGCAGGGTTTATTACCTCCTCACTGGCTAAAAACATGAAAAGTTTTATAGTTTTCATGGAATTTTTTCTTCCCCTTTTAGGTAATTCTGAGAAATTAAAAGAGAATTTACAGAAAGGTACAGAAGTTTCTCTTTAGATGTTTGATGAAAAACACGGAAAACAGCACATTTAGTGTTAGTGACAGAGCAAGTCTGGAGCACCTACAGTTGAAAAGCAGAATATATTTTTGCTCCCACTTATACAATTACATTAAAATATGGGCATAGGAGTATTTTTCCATATTAAATTTCTAAAGCCAATTGTTTGTTCTGTAACTTCTTTTAAAATGACACTCATGGATTCTTCACTTGTTAAAGTCCAATATGTAACCGAAGCCAAGTGAATTATGTACCACCAACTATTCCAGAATTGTAGAACTTCAATGCCCTCCCCTATCCCCCCCCCCAGAAAAAAACAAAAATAAAACATTTCCCCAATACCCCACAGAGGCTGCTTAATTCCTGGCAAGACATGCAAATCATATTCGCTAAAAAAATACACCCCTGCAAACTTCAAAGCATTTATCCAGCATTCTCGCAGGGCTCAAATGATAACCAAAAGATCAAGGGAGGCGTGGGGGAAATGTTGAATCAATCTGGGTTCCCCGTGATTAGTGTATCACATTAGTCACAGAACAAGATACAGAAATCTTTTAAGTGGATTTGCCTTTCCAGCGGGTCATTTGTTGCCCAAGATGATGACAGCAGGAACTTTAGAACCACGCTTGTTAACAAGTCTATATTCATTAACCACTTGCATTCACACTTAAAAACAAAAATTAACAAAAGGAAAAAGAAAAAAAAGAAAAAAACTAATTCAGTACCGGAGATTAAATAACCATGTGTAGTCTCTTGAAATAAATTTGATTCCTTAAGAAGTCTAATTACTTTCAGTTGCCTTTTTTAAATAACTATATATATATATGTATATATATATATATATATATATGTATATATATTATCCTGTGATTCTACTTATGGTTCCTCTGCTGCGTTGAAGAGATCTAGGAGCATAAAAGCCTTGTGTCCCCCATGAACGGTGGCTCTAATGCTGCAGAAAGGTTACAAACAGGCAGTCTGGTCCTTCATTGATCTGGACTATCCATGGCTTCATTGTAAGTGATTATCCTTTTGGGATCTGGAGGGAAGGTTAAAAATAAATGCATAAATAAAAATAAGGTCTGGAATCCCCAAATGCCCACATTCTAAGAACAAATCCCAAATAACCATCATCATTTAAAACTGCCCCATTTTTAATGAAAATACAATTTAAAGACCATTTCCTCTTTGTATTAACAATGTGTGATCCACTTTTTCTCAACCCAATAGTTCAGCATCCCAATGGATTCCCAGCAACAGGGTCCTCCAGCCAATGAGGGCCTTAACTCCTATAGATTAGAGTTGAGTTCAGTTAACAAGAGTTTTAAGTGTTTTTCCTGATTATGAAAGTAGTACATTTGAAAAAAGCAGACAAAGAAAAAAGCTCAAATCATCATAATCCAATGTTAAAATAAATACCTGAATTTATTTTTTTCTTCTTCTCAGCAAAATGAAGTCAAATTTTATTTTAACCAGTATGGACTGCCTAGTAAGGAACTGTTCAAGTAACAACTAGCACCAAAAACTTCAGGTTAAGTTAATTTGGCCAAACTACCAGTTCAACCTTAATCATGACTTGTTTCCTCCTTACTAATTTCCCATCGCATCACCAGCCTTTATTCTCAGAAATAGCAAAAACCTGTGGTTCTCCTGGGTTATAAAACAGAATGTATCTGGGCAAAGACTCCAGTGTTATTCTAAATTCCTACTATTTAGCTGTATGCTCCTCTCTTCTCAAGAAGCAATGATTTTTTTGCATACTACTTCTACCTAGCCAAGAACTTTTAAAAGTATACATGCTTTAGTAAAAAATAGAAAACCAAAAAAACTTGTCACCTAATGAAAAGTATAAAGGCCTGAAAATAATACTGAAGAACTCAAGCTCACCTAAGCCTAAGAATCAATCTAATGTAGTCCAGAGATATACAACATCCTTTCTAGGACTCCAAGGGCCATCCACTAGCAACCTACCATGAAAATAATGCTCATTCTTAATAGTTAATAGCCATTTTTTTTTCAGTTAAAACGGAGGTCAACTTTTAAAGAGACACAGAGAGCAACTCAAAATATTGGGTTGTCGGAAAAGTCATGACGCATTTTTGCAACGAAAAACAGAAAAAATACGTCATGACTTTCCCGACAACCCAATAATTTAAGAGCTTGCTAGTTATCGTCAGGTCACCGCTGTGTTAGACAAAAAAGACCTGGCTCTAGAACAAGAGTGAGTGGGAAGGAGGAGCAATGTTGGGAAATCAGGAAAACCTACATTCTAGTCCTGCCACTTTCTAGTTTATATGTAATTTCTCTGTGTCTCAGTTTCCTACCTGAAGAGAATTTGTAACATCCTTCAAGTTCTAAAATTTTAGGAATTTCACATTCATCTAAAATCCACTCATATTAACTAGCAAAGTAGATGGGGAGTGAGATATAATTCAGTCACAGGGTCTGAAAGCCCAAATCTATTAGTGTGATTATTTCTCCAGACCAAATCTCTCACTTAATTTCAGCTATTTCACACTACCGTATTTTAACATATTTGGAAAGAAGGCACACAGTAATTAAGATAATCAACTTCAATTTTCGAAAATCCTAAACAATCCAGATGTGAATTATCCTGTCCCTGTGCTCTCCTGCAAGTCACATCTTATTTATTGGGGGTGGGGTGTGTGTGTGAAGGAGGCTAATTTGATACTCTTTAGATTTCTAACATCTTTTCAGAGAATATACAGCCCATATAAGGTTTCTAACACAGGTAATTTTTTTTCAACTATGAATTTCACTTCTTAGGCTACCTCTGGTCACACAAATACAGATAAAGAGTGGCCATAAATGGAAACACTTATTCATGTTAATTTCCTGGCTTAAAAATATTTATGGTCTGTTTTACTTTCACCATCAGGGGCAAAAGAAAATTTCATGTTATTCACCTAGCAGACAAAGAGTACTCTCATATTCTTTTCACTCACAGTGTTACCCCATCCTTAAGTAGTCCTGGTACGGTGGCTAGTGCCTTTTGACTGCAGTTATTAAATAACACAAAATCTATTTATTTGGTAGACCACTATTCATGTTATTCCCACCCAAAAATAATGTATAGTAATTAGTGATTAGTACTAACATTTCAGGTAACCATTCATTCTTACCTTGCTTCTGCAAATTCCAAACAGATTCCATTTCTGCAAAGAAAAAAAAGAGGATGACTTTATACACTGAGTTTTGTAGAACAAAGTTTAAAGGTTTTAAGTCTAAAAAACTTAGACTGATTATTGCTGGGCTGAAGGTAGGGTTGAAATAGCACAATTCTACGAAGCTCAGACAATTCTTATAATTACAACTTCCTATAATTCAGATTGCTTTAAGTGTTGATGACAGAAAGTCAATTATCAGAAATCAAATTGCCAAGAGAACAATTTTGTCTACACAAACAGCAAAGATATACAGAAGCATGCTATTCATAAAATGATATTTCTCTATACATCTCTAACAATAACTATTAAAAATTGTTTATTAAAAATATCAAGTATTTTTGGGCAACCTATCACCCCTCAACAAGGTGCCCCAGTCTCCTGAATGAAGCATTCATCAAATTTGTTTAATTAAGCTTGATGTTTAAAATGCCTTATTAAAATTTTACTTAACTCGTTGCTTATAGGCAAATGGTTCTGTTCTTCAAACCACACCTACTCTTATTTTAACACATAAGGTCAAAATCCTATCCACATCCATTTATTAATAACACATAATCCTCATTTGCTCCAATTACATTCAGATGTGATTATCTATAATGTGCTTACTTTGGTATTTTACAATAAGGAAAATATGTATATGACCAAACTATAGTGACATACAGAAAGAAAGCAAGAAAAACTACCTGGAAGCATACTAGAAAGCTTCACAGAGGGGATATTTGAAATCTTGATCAATAAGACAGTAGATGACTATCATACCACAAGAACCTAAGAACTGGACCATAAAAGGAACTATTCTATTAGGATGTTAATGTAAACAGAAACTACTTAGTAATAGGAATGAGCTGTAAGTAACACTGAGAGTTAAGTGCTCTTCCTGTGACCATACAACTACCATTTTGAAAAGACAAAAAGGTGACTATCCTATATAACTGGATTCTGTGTAATTGTTTTCTATATTTATCAGTAACCAATTATAGTAAAAGAAAAACAAAACTGGAACTTATTAAGATAGGATATATCTGGACATGGGTTGTAATTAAGGTACAACATAATCCCTCCCCGAGGCTAAGAGGAAATAGGTGTATAGATCTAAAATTAAAATCACTCTCCCTACCCAATTTCCCTCACCCCCATCAAACTTACTTTCTAAAAAACTGCTAAGATTTTTCTGAAAATTTGTCAGGATTAGATATTTGGAGCAATAGGTTAATTATTCAAAATGATCAAAGTAATTATTCAGATAAAATCCCATTAAAGATATCACAACAATTCTGATTAAACCAAGACTGGGAAATAAGGCACTGGTTGCCACTTGGTCTATCCAAGAGCTTAGTTGGATGCTATGGCCTTTAAACTGCTGGGTAGATGCCCATCCACAGACTAGCAGGAAAATTCCTCTCTCCTACGAGATCTAAGAAAGGGAGAGAACTATAACCAATTTAATCGGGGGAAAAAAAAGATACACCAGAAAGGGAATTCTAGTCAAGGCACTCACATTTAATCACTCCAAAATAATTTCTAATTCCATTAGTTTCAGACAATTAGAAATAGCTGTAAGTCATTAGAGCTGTTATCCTACAAATTTCTGTATCTCAGAATGGCTTATTTTAAGAAATTCAAAGATAAGCCTTTCCTTGGTTGACCTGACTGAAGAATTAATACAACACAACCAACATTTTTTCTTTTACTTAAAGTACAGAAATCTCACATTTTGCAACAAATAAATTCCTGAGTTCTGTACACCACAGATTGCTTTGATGCTCATCATTTTAAGTTTACTTAATGCAAAGATAAATCTATACTTAGTTGTATGTTGAGAAAAAAAGTAACAAACTTTTTCTTTAAGCCTGCCTAAGCTGCAACATTTCCTTTTCTCTTCCTCACAGCAAACCCCAACCAATCCCTGCCCTTTTTGGGGAGGGGAGAGGGGTGACTATACTCGAGTCACAGGAACAACCAAACTACTTTAGGATAAAGACAAAAGTAACTACAGTTGACCCTGGGAACAATGTGGGGGTTAGGGGCACCAATCCCCTGTGCAGTAAAAAATCTGAGTATAACTTTTGACTCCTCCCAATCTTAAATTGTTCTTCGGTATCTGCAGGGGATTGGTTCTAGGACACCCCGCAGATACCCAAAGCCATGGATGCTCAAGTCCCCTATATAAAATGGCATATATCAATGTATACAATCAGTCCTCCCTCCACATCTGCAGACGCCCAACTGTGGATGAAAAACAGGACAGTATTTATTGAAAAAAATCCACATAAATGGACCCATGCAGTTCAAACTCATGTTTTCCAGGGCCAACTGTATTTGCAAACACCCATTTTCTTTAATGGATTGAATCATTTCCTTAACTTAAACTAGAACATTTCACCTTTAGGTTTTACTCTAATGTTACAGATTTTAAATGATTTCTGGTAAAAAAAAGTTTTATTACCCTCAAATATGGGCTCTGGAGTAGTAAATCTATCATGACTTGAGAAGGGAAAAGGGTAAAGTAGGACCTAACTAAAAAATTAGCCATTGGCCAGCCTAGCTTCTACATAAGAAATAAATCAGCATTATCTGTGTAGTGCAATGGGATTGCAATTCTCCTTCCTGTTATGTAATATTAATTACTTCTATAACTAGTAGCTACTTGACTCCCTTGATTAGAATTCAAAAGTTTCCATGAAACAAAGTTAAAATCAGAAGGGAAATTAATCAAATATTGTTTGCATGATTACATGCCATGTTAAACAACCCTACTGAGACTAACAAGAACCTAGGCTAGAGAACACTTAGGAAAGTAGTGAATTACATTTTTCCCTCTTTTAGGCTACAAAGTTTCGATTCCAATTCTAAACATGAAATCAGTTGCTTTGTATAATTTTAACTATCACAAGAGAAGTGGAACAGATGAAGAGTATAAAAGCTACAGAAGAAACATTCAACTATGCAAAATCATAACACAGTAATTAATTTTTTTTACTTTTAATACCTCCCTCTTCTACACACATACACAGTCTTCAACCTCTCAGTTCTTTTAAAAGACAGATCACAGGATCCAATTATGCAAATAGTTATTGAGAAATGGCCACAGGGCTAAACCTGCTAACATAAGTAAAGATTTCTGCTCTTAAGCTATACTAAAGTAGGCAAGTTTGTTAAAATTCTGTAATTTAGACCACCATCCAAATTTGAAATTTCACTGTATCAAAATTTTCAAATATTTAGTTATGCCTCTAATCAAATGAAGTTGAATATTCAATTTTTTAAAGAAGACTACTTTCTACATAGCTCCCTATCATAATGCTTCTTGTAGTAAATGTCCAATTACCTGCAAATTCTTAATTCCTAGTGGATTAAAAGGCATTAATAGGGGCTAGGGATGATGCAAAAACAGGAAGAAAAGCTCTAACTCTGCGAGCTTAGTAGAGCAGGCAGCTTTTCTAGAAGACAGAGCACAAAGGCATCTATGAATTAGTTTATTATTTAATCATATAGGCAAAGGAAAACCACTGAAGAAATCTAAGGTTATTGTACTAAATATTATTAACAAGTCCTTGAGGCAACTGAAGAAAATGGATGCAATGACAATACAGAGCCCAGTAAACATTATTGCAAAAGTTGTTAGGACAATTGTATTAGAGATGGAAAAGAAAAAAATGGAGATGTTGGAGATGACCTATATCACCTAATGATAAGGGTTATATTTTCATTCCCACCAAGAAGGCAGGAAAGAGCAGGTTTTAGAAAACAATGAATTCAGTTTTATATATGTATAACTGGAGTGGTGATACTGAAAATATGAGTAAAAGCAGATGAAGAAGTGGTAAACTTAGTACACAGTGATAGAATTAGATGAGATTACCCAGAGGAGTTTGAGTAGCATGAAAAGGCGACTGAAGAAACATGAACATTTGAGGAAAAGAGAATATCAGAAAGGTTATACTGAAAACGTAGAAAGTAGGAGAATAAGTAGAGTTAAGGAAACGCAAACTAGAAAATTTAGAAAGGGCAGGTTCAACTACACAAATTCTTACCTAAAGTTAAGACACTTGCAACTTTTTAGTCACTTATGTATCCCTTTTTCTCTAGCCCAATGCCATTGCCCTGGTCCAAGAAGTGGAATCTTATGAACATTTCTGTAGCTGTCTTTTAACTGGTCTCTTCTGCCATCAATCAAGCCTCACTTCCTGTCTTGTACACCATGGCTATCATTCTCTTCCTTTAAAATATAAATTTGAAAGTGACCACAACGTTCAAAACACTTCAGTAGATTCTCACTGCCTACAGGGAGACTGGATCCGTGTTCATCTTGCATAAAATTTATTTTTAGCATTTGACACACTGGTTGGTACACATCAATAAGCTCGATGACTAAAGTTAAAGATTTTTAAACTTGCACCATTCACCTTCTTTGAAACAAACTGAATAATTGGCAATCTTCAAACATTCAATTTCCTCTACCGAAAATATTCTGGTTCTCCTTATACAATAAATAAGCCAACTTCCACTTGTGTTTTTTGAATCCTTCCCCAGTAGATCCTGACCCACCATCCACCTTAGGGGTTTCTCCATGTTCCAAATGCATTTTGTATATTTTTTGACAGAGCTATTGTACTATATTTCTTTCCATCTATATTTTCCTATTAGAGGTTCTTTAATGACATGAACCCTCTCTTTTCACCTATTTATCACCATTGCTTCACACATTGCTTGGTGAAATAAATAAATATTGATTTGAATGAATACTACTCATAAATCAGTCAGGAATATAACTAGTAGTAGGTAGGAACTATTTGAAACTGCTGATATTCAACCTTTTTTGACCTAAAGAAACAGCAATTTCATATGGTCCAACCAAATAGATTCAGCATTTAATTCTAAAAAATCCTTCAAAGAAAAAGACTGAAGCTAAGAAGGCGAAAGTCAAGTAGAGGCTTTTTTTTTTTTCCTTTACAATTGAATAGAACATTTTTTTAAAAAATCATTAA